TGTGACGCATCCCGGCGGTCATTACGTGCCCGTCGCGAAGGACTGGGTTATGGTGCTGGCGGGCTGGCTAAGACAGCAATACAGCAAGTAGTTTTTGACGAGACGCTTGGGGATAGACGGTGTACGTGTGGGATAGAGATTAAGAGTTAGACTACTACGAGACCACCACGTTGCTTTACAATTATAGACTGGAAGATTAAGACATAGAAGGCAGTCCTGATTCTACAAGGGCCTGATATAAGCCTCCTAATCTAAGTATTGTACATTCGCATGCTTTTTTTTGGATGCAACCCTGATTGTCTGTACCTCTCTCGAAACCTAAGCCATGCCGAGGTCCCAAAGAATTACCACTTCCCTTTAGAAACCGAGCCCTCATAGAAATATTTCATTATGCCTTCTTCTTACCTTTCTTTTCCTTGCCATCCTTGGCTCCCGGTTGGATTCTCGCCATCATTTCCTCCTTGGTGATGAGATGATCAACGCGCTCCAATAAGCCGAGCAGGCTCTTCATGTTGTGGCTCCACTCGTTCAGAACGTCATCGACGTCTCTGGGCTTCGCGAAGCTGACTATGCGTGCTGGCCGGTCGATACGGGCGAAGACCGTCTTCGAGCATACTAGCTCGCTGATATACTTCTCGGTCTCGTCTTCGGTCAGGTCGAGAAGCTGGGTCAGGCGCTTCATGCCGATGCGAGTGTAATACTTCGCCACGACTCTGACGTTGTGCTCGATAACCCGCTTGCGCAGGTCCTGCCATCGCTGGTGGGCCTTCTCATCCTTGGACTGATTCGGGCGTTCATCGAAGATGTCGGTTCCGCAGAGATGGGGACCGTATTCGCTGGCAACCTGGGGCCATCGCATAAGTTCGTGCACCGTGAATAGCTTTAGAAGCGAGGCATCGGTGCTAATCTGGCTATTTCTGGCATCGCGGAAAATGCGCTGGAGAAGGTCATGCTGCTCGTTGTCATGAGGAGCAAGGATGACGAAGTAGATGATTCGTTGGAGAACCTAGTCAATGTTAGTGAAATTGGACCAACGAGTGAACCAAATACGGAGCATACCGGTTGTAGCTTTGAAGGGTCTTCCTCCACAGCTTCTGTGTCTAGCACTTGTCTGTAGTGCTTGCAAACATCGAGATACTTATCGTCGTGCTTCGCCAGAGTAATCTGCTGCTCGTAGTACGCCAACTTCAAGTCGGTAGTATCGTCCTCCACTTCCGGGGGAACTTCTTCTCCGCGCTTCAGCTTCTCTTCCCGAACCTTCTTCTCCTTCTCCAGCTGTTCCGGGGTCTTCTTCGGCTTTCGTGCCAAGTATCTGGTGCTGATCTTACGGCTGAGAATACCGGCCTGCGTGTAGTCGCCGTTCTCGATACATAGAGCGACTTGGGCAAGTATGAACTCCGTCTTCTCACGTCTCTCCATCGAGCCGAACGTCTCGACCTGCAACTCGCACAGGATATCCATCGCAGCCTTCAGGTCGCCTTGCTGCTTCTTGATGTCGGACAGGATCTTGGTCACGCGGGCTCGCTCGACTTCGACGAATATCTTGCCCTCGGTCACCGTGCGCAGGGTCTCGATGACGCTAAGCTTCGTGTCTAGGTCGGGTGTCTTGTCGAGGAAGGTCATGACGGTCTGGACCATCTTGGTGATGGCTTGTTTGAGCTGGCCATGCTTCTTGGAGAGGACCAAAACCTGGTCGTTGAGCAAGCTCCACTTTCCGGCATCTTTGCATATCGTGCATATCGCGATCAAGGTTCGAGAGGTGGACGCAAGGTCGGATGCCTACGGGATATGGTTGTAAATGAGTGTTTAGCAGGCTGGGGGTACCAAGACAGCTTACCTGTCGGGTTTGCTTCTCGAATATGGTAAGCTTCTCGATAGCTGCAGCGATATCGTTCTAGAAAGCCTTATTAGCTACCCATCATGACAGCGTTTGTCCAACATGAGCACACCTTAGCAAGCTTCTCGGCCTCGCCGATTTGAACGTCAGCTTCCTTGCTGAAGTCCTTCTCGGGCTTCAAAGCTGGGTCGGCCATGGTTTCTAGAAGTGATTGGTGACTTGGGATGCAATAGTACGGCGGCGGAGTCGGAGTCGGACTGGGACTGGGTTGGGTTCGTCGATATGGGTTTTAGTAGCTTGTTTGGTATGTGTTGACGGGGACATGAGAGCTGGAGTTGGTTGACGAAAGCTCATGCTGCCTTGCAGCCTCCAGCTGATTGGCCGAGCAGACCCACCAGCCCGCCCGCCATCGCCGACATCTTATGCGATTAGCCCTACTGGTTTTACTGGAAGATTCATTAATTGCATAAACCATTTATCAGGACATTCAAGACTATTTCCTCTCATACATCTCGTACATCTCATCTGAACTATATAACTACCTACCTAATATATCTCATCCGATTTTCAATATAGGGCTATTCAACTGAGATGGTAAAAAGTGAAAAAAACAGCACTAGTCAGAATCTTCAAATTCAGACGATAGCCAGGGCGTTCGCAGTACTAGAGATTCCTCCTGAAGGATCGCGTTAGTTGGAAGATTTCGAGAATGGTCGTGTTCGGTTACCTTTCACATGATTGGGAGCACTCGCGAGAAAGAACGTCCACTGTTTCCTCTCGGCACATCTATCAGCAAGCTTTTCCAGATCCCAGAGCTCGCCGATAGGACAGCCCCAAAGCGCCAACAGCTTTTCGTGAAGGTAGTAATCTCGAATTATGTCAGCATTAATCTTCTGCTATGTAAGCATGTGGCGACCTAGACATGCCTTTGTCGGATGGCCACGCCTCAAACGCTGGATGGTCTCCAGCTACGGCTGAGAAGTAAGAATCGTGAAGAAAGTCGAGCATTTCTTCGCTCTGTTCCACACCTATGTAGCGCTGCCCATCGTGAGGCCCGAACCGATGCGGTTGGAGGTGATGAGCTGCTCTTTGCTCATCTGTAAGAGAGTTGGCGTTCTTTAAAAAGCCGGACCTGATCAGGAGTATATCCCCGATACAGATGTCACCTCCTTGCCCCTCAGGTTTCAAGTCGATTCCTTGCATCTTCGCTACATTGACAAGATCAAAATAGCTGATCTTGTAATTGTCATAGAACAACGGCTTGATGTTATTCGCCTCGGCGTATCGACCATAGTCCAAGAGAAGACCTCTACCCGCTATGCCGCGGGTAGCCCATGCTTGAATGCCACACTTAGTGGCCGTGCTAGGGCTCGATATATCGCTAGGAACAGTCTTTAAAGAATCAATCTGCCATTCTATGCTATCAAGACTCCAGTCAAAGAACTTACTCCGTTGTAGAAATAACCAGAAGGGACATGAGAAAACTGTACTTGATCAATCGTATTGCGAGCTTAATCCTCAGTTATTCGGTCTCGACCTACGTGTCGGAACCCATCCCATTGAGAAGTACTTTGCGGATTCATTTCGTAGGTGTCATCATACGTGTGCGATCTACCCTCGGGGGTGATACGGAGCTTGAAAGCTTCTCGCTCGTAGCACGGCGGCACTGGCCGATCAAATGGGAGACTAACACAGAAGTCAATAAGAATATTCCACTCGCTAACTGAGGATAACTGAGGAATGGCTCTGGTGGTTGACCAACCCAAGCGCAATTGTCTCTCCCGAGGACACGGCTTCGAGCGCTTTCTTGATCCTGTCTGGTGTCTGTAGATTCAGTCTTCCCAGCTATGAAATGATTAGTATGTTTCTAAACAATCCTGGAAGGAGAAATGCAGAACTCGAGTGGCTAACCTCGTCGTCGTTTCCCCAAATCCATGCCGAATCCTCCGGCTCGCCTGGCTTAGGCCTTAAGTTCTTCCTCAATGGAAGTTCCATGTCAGCTCTTGGTGATATCTAACTCGGGGCACCGTACGCAGACTAAGGGGACTGAAGAATAGAGTGAGCATAGAGGGCAATCGGGAGTATATCCAACGTGTAGTATTATTCAAGCAGCGGGGAAATGCGTTGCATCTGCCATCCGCCTATCACCTTTGCAATCACAGGTTTCCCCTCATGAGGCGACGGGAACTATTTCGCATTATTAGGTAACCGTGACGTCCATACACATTCCAAGAAGAGCTCGTCACACGGTATCACAGTAAATATCTCGCAGGTTTGCAGGGGTTTTGTCAAACCCCTAAATATCCAACCAGAGATGATAGATGTGAGAGATCGTATGGACTGCATACCTCGGTGCCTACGTGGATCAAGGATTACTTCATTCCCTGCGTTGAAGAGTCTCTTAAACTATAGAACATAGTAATCTATCTATGCATGCGACTCGCGGACAAGTATCTTTCATGGTTCTTACTCTAATGACTACCTTATATTTCAGATAGGACTTATGAACACCTCTCTCATCATTGATGATGAGTACGCCCGTAGCAGCTCATAGCTCCTATTCGATCTCGATGGATCGCAGCTTCGACTCTATTTTGCCAATTATATTGCTATCACTTAGGTCACTTAGACTAGCCAATTTGCTCATGAAGGTCCTAGGACGTCGAATGGCGACAATACACTTGTGCCCTCACTCACAACACAACGATGAATCTTGGTTCCAGTAGCTCGAGAAACCCTTCCATCGTCCCTATTGTTCTCTCATATCGAAGCTCCTCGTGATCATCCCTAGCCCGTTCAACTCTATAAACTCGGTACCTGCTCGACGCCACGATAATGTTGCATATATTCCACATTATGCGCCCATGATTGGCTTCCACAAAACCCCACCCATTCTTCCTTAGATCATGGATTGGCAAAGTAAATTGATGAAGTAAAAGACAACCCCTCATTCGGCAGCCTTGATGGCTGACTCTTAACATGATGATTGTGCGTCCTCCGGTTAAATAGGCCGCAATTGTCCCGAAGTGAACAACTTAGCTACGCTCCACTCATAGTGCGATTAATTCGTACACGATGTCTTCCGACCATACGCTAGTAAAGCAGGTGGGAGCTTTATTCTGTCCAAACTCGATGCCTTGTCACGGAGATGAATAGGACAAAGTCCGAATTGGTGTAGTGGCTAACATTTGGTGCTCTCATCGTTACAATCACAGTGATCCGCCAAGCCCGGGGTTCGATTCCCCGATTCGGAGTGTATCTTCTTTTTCACATATCTCTGCTCTAGACGCGGTCATGATCATGAAGTTTCTGTACATGAAGATATTAGCATGAGAATTGTCGAAAAGAACGAACGAAGCCAAAACCATTACCTCTTAGAATAATACTATCCGGTTTGGAGAAACCCATCATTAAAGGGTATACAAACATGGGAGTTTTCGCCACCGGAGTCAAGTTTTAAGATACGTGCTACCACTACACGTTGTAGTTCTGTAGATTTGCTTATTATGTTTATAGTTTTATAGTCACGACAACACTCGTTTACTCAGTGTCTAAATATCATCTGCTCATTAATATAAATGCCAATTAGAACCGTTGTTGTTTAATAGTTAACTACGTGTGTTTGACTGGTATATATGATAGTACTCAAATATGGCTTTTCCTTTTCTATTTGAGATCAGACCCTTCCTGAGATCTCTCTATATCACATCGACTAACTAAACCATCTACGAAACAACCCATCAAATCATGTATCGATTCATCTATTATACCGAATATCCGATTGCTTTTAATCAGCTGCATCAAGATCATCAAGATCTCCCAGCTCGTTATAGTGGGATTCAACTCCTTACATTTCGAGCTCGACAGAACAACCGCCAACCATGTGTACGCAAGTCATAAAGACGAAGTGGTGCCCGGAACACCAAGGTTTCCACTACTGGGCCGTATCTATACCCTATCTGAAGAAATGCGCCAAGGCCCCCCGTTGGCAGTACTGTGCTGAGATAACAGTCGGGGAACCCGAGTTCGCAGGCAATGAGATATGCGGTGAGTGTCACGTACAAGCTATGACGAGAGCATCGGAATTCGACATGTCCTGGTGGAAGCCTTCTCGACTCGCCAGGGGATGAGTTCTGGCACCCAGAAGGGAAATGCAGTGGATATATGGGATGGGTAGGAGCTGGGGGTCTGCTCATGAATGGCGAGGATGCTGGCGGGTACCTCAAAAACATGGCCACGGGGAGTTATGTTAGGATGTTAACCCTTACCACCTAGGTAAGGCCATATATTTGCAGTCCAGTTGGTAGGCAGGAGGGAATTATGACAGAAGCTTGTGCACACCTATGGTCCAGAAGCTATTAGGCGTATAGCTTTTCAGGTAACAGCGTTTGGTTTCTATTTTATTTTTTCATCTCTTATATTGCTTCCCGGATGCCACTATAAGCCGTTCCATCTATACGATCTACATCGATTGGTAATCCATAACACTCATCAGTCTGTGCTGTACTGTGTAATGGGTGTGATCCTACGTAGAACCTCAACAGCTTTTTAGGATATAGGTATCTATAGAAGGGGACATCCAAAACATGTTTCCGAAAGGGGAAAACGGAAAGGGTTGAGAATTCATACACCATATAAGATGTAAGGGGCCATTTGGAACTCAACCTTAGCTGGGCTTTGCTTGCTTTCCAGCCTCGACTATCTAGACTGGCTCTAGCCCGCTGACGCTTTCATTCAATACTGACATATACCATAGAACCTGCAAGCACACTGGCCCACCTACTCAAGGAATGCATACATCTCAAGCCGGGGGAGCGAGCGCTTGCTCTCGAAGGCAACTCGGTTCTAGAGCACTTATGCTACAGTCACTAAGGAAGGCGATACGGAAGCGCCCGGTGCGCAGACGAGGTTGAGTTCCATTATTCCTATTTCGCCAAGTCTCACTCAAACGAACACCTGTTCCTCCTCGACGGAAACCGCAAGAGACCAATCGACCTGGGAGATATAAGACCTGTGGCGAGGATGTCCTATCTGACAAGTGCCTGGATGTGATTTGCGACATAATGGCGAGAGGCCAGAGCAAGAATTTGAACATCAATCGCAAGCAACTCTGGGGATGTTTCTACACACCTGGATCAGTGGTTAAGCTCAAGCACCCGATTTGCTGACTTCGGTTATTGTAGGGATGGCTTTAGTAGGTTCAAAAAATGCAGAAGAGACTCAAGTTGGGTATATGGAACGGAAAGAAAACATATGATACAGGCGTCATCATCGTCATCATCATCATCAGGGCCATTCTTGGCCGCGTGCTGGGTTGTTCAGGCCCTCACATTCGGCGAGCACTTGTCAACCACATGCGCTACTGCAGTATTCAGACTGGAGACGGTAGCAACTAGGCTCCGACTTTTCATTCGGGGTGTTTCAAGACTTCTACAGCACCCATGCCACTTCGTTGATTCCCTGTCGTTTGTAAGTTTAGACAAGAGCACGCATGAGGGTTTGCAAAACTCTTCCGCTGGTAGAGTGCCTAAATATCACCAAGAAGAATGGTTTCCTAATATTGTAGACTGCGTGGGATGTGCCCAACTACGAAGACGCTACGTCACGAAATGTGTGTAACCCCCCTATTCGAAACGCGGTGATCACTTCTTCGCCGCACGTCTATTAGCAATAGTGTAGAATATACTTCCATCATAAATGCCCCGGATATCCTCTTTCATCATCCGCCCGTCACCAGGCCAAAGCATCAGGTAAGTCGCGAGCCCTATTTCCCCGATCAGTATCGTATAGGTTCTTCCGGGTAAGTCCAGCTTCTAAGACTCACATTCGAAGAATGCGCCAAACCACCCAACCGGGTCCATGATGCATCGCTGCCCCTTGAGGAGGTCCATCACGTCCCAGATTGTCAGATAATCGCGCCCCTTGCCGTACTTGGCGAACGTGTCCTCGAAGCGTTGGGGCATGAAGCGGCCTTCCGTATCGTATGACCCCGTGTCGCTACCGTGTTTATCCTTATGCACGTTGGCCAAGAACACGCGAAAGAAGGGGTCGGGGAGCCAGCCCGGCACGGTCGGGTACGAGAAATTGCCGTGGATGATGAATACAGCGATGAGCGACAGGATGATGCCGAAGCCTATCCGGTAGAAGCCCCGGAACGTGTCCTGCGGCCATATCACACCGTCGTGGTCCTTGAAATGATGTTAGGAGTGCGATTGGATCAGAGGTGAGGTTAGGGGTCATCTGACGTACGAAGTCGAAGAACTCGCAGTGCTGTTGGAGCACAGTTTTATCTCGATGCTGCCTGGCCCACCCCCATTCTGTCGTCCCGTAGGGCTTTTCATAGGTAGCAGCGACATTCGCTCGAGCCGTGCCTGAGGATATGTCAGCCGAGGAAGATGTCGAAAAGGGTTGAGAAGTGGATAGGCGAAAAGGGGAAAGGCTGAAAGGGGGAATCAGGAGAATTTAGTGACTAACCGGTATGCGGCAGTCTCTGGTCATCTTCCGGCTGAAGGAACGGCTTCCGATCTACCGTCACTTGGACATTCGGTATCCAACTTACGACAGGCGGAGCCGGGCTCTCGTCCACGCCGTCAATGAGTAAGCCTTTGGTCTCGACAGGCATTATGAGCTGCTTCAAGTCTCCCCAGTGCCTAGCTCTATTATGTAAATCTTTCTGGAATAGCGTCCAATTATCCTTTTTGTATCTCAGCCATAGCGAACTTGCAATGCACATACGTGCGAATGACGTCATTGACGATACGACCGGAGCATTTTCACCATTGCGATCGATATCTACTCCCGATAGGATTCAAGTTTAAAACCGGGGACCATCCTAGACCTGCCAGAATCATTAGCATGTGAAAATTTAATACCATGGTCTACTCTTCTCAACAGGACTGTTTTCATTGGACCGTCAACACATTTTCAGAGAACTCATGAAGATGTAAGCAGCATTGCTTATTATGACTTCAACCACGTGCAATTAGCAGTAATATAGGGACATACTATTTGTGCGGTTGACGGTGGAGCCATTATGATGACATCCTGGAGTTGTCCGATGTCAGTAAACAGAGAGCTAGACCTTGAGCTCGAGAAGAGGTGTTGTAAATCATACATTCAAACCAGTGGAAATGTTTTGTTTGAATCGCGTGAGCAGAGTGCATTAACCAGTGAGGGGATTGTTTTAAGCAGAGATGTTTAGCCGCTGTCATAAACAGCGTAGTTACCCGTAGAACTGTCGGAAAGACCGAGTAATTCGGTTATTGAGACACTATTATGTGTAGGAGATAGATATCCCTTCGTGGTGTGTTTGTAATTGTCCAAGACATTGTCAATGTTTCCTGTTACAAGGGGTCCGATGAAGAAGAGCTGGTTGTAATCTGGCTGCCAAGGACCCGTGATTGAGGAGTCAGGCAGTCTCATGGATAGGATCAACGGATGGTTGCATTATCCGTCAACCGGCAGTTTTCTTCAGGATGTGAGTCCCAGAGATAGATGTTGCGGCTCTTAAGTGGGAGGCACTCGGAGGTTAGCTGCTACAAGTGCCCGGGCCACAATATTACAATGTAGATTGGGAGATCGCGGCTAGCACGGTTTGAATAATAGCCTTTACCGCGTGGCTGTTTCGTCAACCGACGAGAGGGAAGCTAGCGAGTCAAGATGGATACAAGAAGGTCCATGAAATTCTGTAATTTTACCAATGTTCGAAGCTTCCGATGTGGCTTCATGAAAGGCCCACACAAGAACGCTATGCAGAAGACGCTAGAACGACCAAGGTTCGAAATTCCGAATGGCTGGCCGTTTCGCCTACTTCGTACATAGGACCCTTTCTAGCGGAATTGGGCTCGGAAGATTCCGAAAACTTCATCCCTGTTTCGCTATTAATACGTATCAAGGTCTAACTTTGAGTGTTTTGTAACCATACCTAATGTACTTTTCCGAACAAATCTATATATTGGGCACCGCGAAGGGAGTCTTTGCGATATATCAATTGGATTGAAGGGGTTTCGTTGTTCACTTCTCCCTTTCCACCGTGTTTGTTACCCCTAGAGGAGCTTTCGAATTTAGTACGAGCTTCTTTTATTACTTAGTGGAGAGCGGTATTACCGAGAGGCTTAAGAGTACATTTTATGCTGTACGGACTTGACTTGATAATAGGGATGATATTGACCAAAGAGAATAGTCCACCCTCTTCTGTGTATTATCAATACATAGTAGAGCAAACGTCAATTTCTACAAACGAGTCTCGTGCATA